ACGTGTCGGGGCGGGAAAATGGCCGCGGACCACGTGTCGGGGCGGGAAAATGGCCGCGGACCACGTGTCGGGGCGGAAAAATGGCTGTGAACCACGTGTCAGGGGCGGAAAATGGCCGCAGACCACGGGTCAGGGGCGGAAAAATGGCCGCGGACCATGTGTCAGGGGCGGGAAAATGGCCACGGACCACGTGTCAGGGGCGGAAAATGGCCGCGACCACGTGTTGGGGGCGGAAAAATGGCCGCAGACGTGTCAGGGGCGGAAAATGGCCGCGGACCACTGTCAGGGGCGGAAAAATGGCCGCGGACCGTGTCACGGGAGGGAAAACGGCCGCGTATCCTGTTCGTACCCCGAGGCGGAGTTCGCAAACCGAGGCAAAATTTTGTGGCTGGAGCTGGTCGTAACCCGAAAAGTTTGTTAACAGAAGCGTTCGTAACCGAGGTTCCACTGTATTTTAGTTGAATTCATTGGTGTTTACCAAAGCACACCCTACATATATTTTTTAAAAAGTAATATTACCATATATATTAAAATACAGCACCAATATGATTTATTGTAGGCCACCTGCAAAGTTTGAGTTGGGTGGCCATATAAATAAATAAGTAGCATATCTACAAAGATTAGAATTGTGCAAACAACGGTATTCCCTGTTACACTCTATGGAAGTGAAAATTGGACTTTAAAGAAGCAGGATAGGAACAGCATTGATGCCTTTGAATTTTGGGGTTGGAGGAAACTCCCAAGAATACTGTGGACAGCCAAGAAAACAAATAAATGGATCACTGAACAGATCAACCCAGTGTTCTCACTGGAGACACAAATGACCAGGCTCATATTATCCAACTTCAGACACATTATGTGAAGATCCAGCTCTCTGGAGGAGATTCTAATGCTGGGAAAGATGGAAGGAAAGAGGAGAAGAGGATGACCAGCAACAAGGTGGAAGGACTCGGTTACAATAGCGATTAGTGCACCATTGGAAGAGCTGAAAGACCAGGTTACGGACAAATTGTCATGGAGAAAATCTATTTATGTGGTCACTGAGAGTTGACAACAACTTGATGGCACATAATCAAATGCAGCCACCTCACAAGCTTATCATTTATGGCTACTTTCATAGTGTTGTGATCACAAGGTTAATGTAAAAAGATGCTTCTAAAATTCATATACCTTAAACTGGGAGAAGTAGGTGAAATCCATGTATGGGCTAGTGACAAGTATGAAAAAGCAAGTGTAAAAATTTAAAAAAGTATAAAAATGAATTGAAAATGTACCTCATCACATTGACTGACTCTGCCAGATCGTGCTGCTCGCTGGTGAGACAGTTCTTGCAGTTTTATTAGTCTTCCTAGTTTTCTGTTTGCTTCTTCCTCTGCTGGGGACATGTGTGACTCCCCATCAACAGATAAATCTTCTTCATCAATTATGCAACTGCGTTTAGCAAATACTTTCCTAACAATACTGCTGTCATTGCTCTCATCACTGTCATACATCACAGATGTCCGAGATCTCTTCCGCTTCCTGAAGGAGACGTCCTCTTCTTCCAGATCCTCTGATGCTATACCACTACAACCTGTCTGAAAATCTGCATCACTCAAAGCTTCACCACTGATCTTCCTAAGTACGGATACCTCTTCTTCTTTTCCATCTCCATCTTCTTCTGAACTGGACTCGGGTTCTTTTTCTGATGATGATGTAATTTCATCATCCTCATCCTCACTTTCAGGCAATGTATTTCTTCTAGTCCGCTTCCAGTCAACACGAGATTTGGCGACTGGTTCTTCTGTTCTTGTGCTTCTCCTGGTTTCATATCTTCTACTTACAGGTAAACTATCAAGGCGAACTTGAATAAAGCGG